TATACCCAATTTATGCTTGCCTTACACTCGGGCTGTGTCTACACTGGCGCAATCTTGCACAAAAGCGGCCGCTCTTGCGCAAAAACTTGCTGCCTGGCTACACTGGCCACGTGTTCTTACGCAAGTAAACTGATGTTCTAATGTATGAAATCAGGGCTTCTTGCGCCAGAACTCTGATGCTCCTGCTCAAGAATAAGCCCTTTTGCGCAACTGTTCTTGCGCAAGAGGCCAGTGTAGACAGGCAACATGAATTTCTTGCGCAAGAAAGCCCGATGGTTAAAATGGCCATCAGAGCTTTCTTGCGCAAGAGAGAGTCTACGCTGGCATGGATGCTCTTGCACAAAAGCACATCTCTTGCGCAAAAGCACATGCCAGTGTAGACGCTCTCTTCTGCAAGAGTTTTTTCAGAAGAACGCTTCCGCAAAAGAGTTTTTGCGTGAGAACACGCCAGTGTAGACGTAGCCTAGGAGAATATGGCTGTTCCTTAGTGCCTGGACAACAAATGAGCTTATTGAATATGCCACAGCTGTTACCTGCAGGAGTTACGCACTCATGCTGCAACTACAGGTTGAGCCTCTCTTGTTCAGCACTCTCTAGTCTGGCAATATCTATGGTTGGGCATGATTTTAGTCAGCTGGAGATCCACTTATAATGGGTGTGGCCAAGTTTCCCATGAGGTTTATTTATAGCTGCCAGTCCTGGCTCTGTGTTCTGTGCTGTTATTTAGCTCTAATTTACCCCTATATGTCTTCTAGGAGCCCAGCAAGTAGTGGAAGTGTTGGTAATGCTGCTGGACAATATTGACTTCACATGGTCTGGCAAATTCTCTGGTTTGGTATGGGTCAGGTACCAAGGGTGCCTGGCTAGAGAGGTTCAACCTGTACTTAGGCACAGAAGTGACTATAAATGAGTTAGAAGTCAATGTATTGGACTGAGTCTCAGATTACTTGGATTCTATCCCTGGCCTCTGCTAGGTGGCCTTTGTTGGCTCTTCTGAATAATTGCTAAAGCATAGAGAAATAGTGATGAATGATGATGGTGCTAGAATGGCCTGGAACTTTGAGCATTTCCACTAAATTGCCTTTTTGTTGCAGGCATATAAATCCCCAGTGACTGTAATCTCTGAGTTTGTGTAAAGAAGTGTCCATATGATCACTGAAAAGCTTGGATCCTTCAAGCACCTCTCTTGAAAGACATGAAAACTTGAGCCAGGACATAGGCCAAAGGCAAGTACTTGGAAGCTGTGTTGGTGGCATCCAGGGCAGTTTGGAGGTAGGTTTTTTTTTTTAGATCAACTGCCCATCCAAAATTAACTGAAATTGCTCTTTGGATTTGTAAGATATGGTAAATAAAATGTGTACATTTTGAGTATGTGATAAAGTTGCTTTTTGCAATCAAGGCTTTATACTTGGCAACATAAAATTGAAGAATAGCTGACAAGTAACTTGTTCTGTGCAGTATTAAGTCTAGCCACTTGGAGGCCTTATACATTGGAGAAAAATCTAGATCCAGCCAAATGGCTCCTTTTTCTGGCTACCTGTACCACAAGTAGGGTTGCCAGATGGTTTCAACAAAAATACCGGACACACTTCACATTACATCACAATCTACATTACATCTTTAGAAAATATCAGACATTAATATTTTTTCATTTATATTTTCTCAATTTGTTTCCCAAACAGAAAGCTCAAATACTGGACTGTCCGGTCCAAAACTGGACACCTGGCAACCCTAACCACAAGGGAATTAGGGCTGGGCTGGGCAAACAAGTTTTGCATTATTTTTTGGTGGGATGTACTACATCTTGCCTCACTTTTTACAGGCAAGTGGAACTGCTGTTTACCAAAGGGTATGTGCAGGAGCTAGCAATGCTTCCCTTAACAGAGCAATCTTAGCTTGTGGATTAATATTCAAAATATCCACCAAGGAGAGTTGTGACTCTGGATTTCCTCTAGGGCAGAGATCTTACCAACCACTTCATGATGTCCTTGAAGGTCTTGAAATTATCAGCACTGATAGCATTACCCCCTAATCTGAGGATGGAGAGGACCTTATTGAAGGATGCAAGATCTCTCTGGGTTGAAGTTCTTGTGTATGATCTTGACACAAAAGCATGTAATACAGGGAGATGGTCAGTGGATATCCATTGATAGTACAGTAGCAGTTGGTGCAGATAGTCCTTTCCTAGCATCCAGTAAAACTAACCTCTGAAATGGTCCTAAGAGTCCCAGTAATCCCACTGAGAATAGGGGAAAGGTTTGGAAATAGGAAACCCTATTTGGACCTATGATGTTTGGTAGGTCCCCTCTGTATGGTCCTTTTCATTAGCGACTCATAGGAAGCTGGTAGTCCAATACCAGGATGGATTAGTGTACCACCATCTTTTCAAAACCGGGATTGTGTTGTAGCATTATATACAATACTTAGTGGCTTTATTATTCATTCCTGTATTTAGTTGATTTTCTCCTTTATCAGATCAGATTCCCATTGACAAATTGGAAATCTTTATTACATGTCTACAGTTCACTGCAGTTGCTGTATTTTTACCATTTCCTATACAACAGTTCCCCTCAATCATTTTCCCCATTCTCCACCCAGGTATGTTGTGATCTACCTTACAGTTGATGGGATTGTTTGTGTACCAATATTATCAATACAAACCTGTCCCCATAAATGTATATTCATATTTAAACTAAGTCAAACCATTTTTTCCTGGAAAAGATCAACAGGGGCATTTTTGACAGCTGAAACAAGATGCATTTAGACTGAAGGGGACATTCTACTCCCATTAGGAGAATAAAAGGTTACTTAGTGGCAATGGAAAGTTTTTAATCCCAATCAGAGCACAATAGGCTTCAGTCTGCTTTCTTTCATTTCCAGGTGGGCTTTTTCATGATTTTATGTTTAAACAGATGTGAATTGTAAAACAGACACAGTTAGTTCAAAGTGATTTGGCAACAGCCACTTTAAAAAAAACCCCAAGGCTATACCTACACTGGCATGATCTTGCGCAAAAACTCTTTAGCGCAAGAGTTCTTGCATAAAGTAGTTGTGCAAGAGACCGTCTACACTGGCATGTGCTTTTGCATGTGCCATGTCAGTGTAGACACTCTTGTGCAAGAAAGCCCTGATGGCCGTTTTAACCATGGGGCTTTCTTGCGCAAGAAATTCATGTTGCCTGTCTACACTGGCCTCTTGCACAAGAAGAGTTGCGCAAAAGGGCTTATTCCTGAGAGGGAGCGTCAGAGTTGTGGCACAAGAAGCCCTGATTTCATATATTAGAACATCTGTTTACTTGCGCAAGAACACGCGGTCAGTGTAAACAGGCAGCAAGTTTTTGTGCAAGATTGAGCCAGTGTAGACACAGCCCAAGTGTTTAATCTACTTATGTGTAATAGGTTTTTGGGACATTTTCCCATAAAATCTGCTTATTTTCTCTAAAACATGAGGCCATAGCATTCTTCTACTGCCTTTTCTTTTATAAAGGATTTGTTGATATACAGGGGCAAATGAATCCCCCAATGCATATATTCAGATGCTTCAAACATGCAGAAATGAGATTGTTTTCCTGCAGTTTAGTATTGATTCCATAATTCCTTTCTAAAATAAAGCCCAAAAAATAAAGTGTGTAATGGATGTTTATTGAACTCGAGCCATTTGTCCAACTTCACAAAGGGCATTTACTTTTGATATAAGGTATCCTCAAATGAACAGAACTAAAGAGTTTAGAAACCAACTTTTTTGCAAAAACTAACAGTACAAAAATAATTTTGAAATTTAAACATGCTAAAGTCTTAATTTTCTGCCTTTTAATGCTAGTAAGGTGTCCTACTAGCAATTATATAGGAGAAATACTAGTAATAGCTCATCCTGCTGATCTTAAATTACTGTGTTAAAAAATTACTGTGTGTAAACACTAGTGAATCCTCCAAGAAAGTGACACATGCAATGCATCTGTGATTAGAAACCTACTTCATGTATATTTCCTACAGAGTTATTCCTTAGCACTCACATATTAGGTCAGGAGAATTGGATCACTATTATGGCTTGCAAAATGTTGTTATACTTCAGATTTATTCCTGATTAGATTATTCAAATAAGATCCCATGTTTAAAAATAGCTCAATAGATATGTTTAGCTAAGATAGCTAGTCTCAGATCGTTAGTATTGCAATCTAGTCACTACTTTAAAAAGTCTTCCAAAGAGCAGACAACAAAATCAAAGCTAAGGCGGCAAAACAGTCTAGTATGTTAGTCTCAAGAAAAATGATTTTTGGGATACAGAATTTTTTCTCTATCAAAAGTAGAAACGTAAATAGCAGTAGCAAGAACACTGTGTACCCAGAATAAAAATTATGCACATTTTTTTCCTAACACTTCTTAGCAGCTTACTGCCAAACAATAAATTAGAGAAATTGTGCATATGATACTCTCTGTTTTAGTTAAAAAAAAAAATTACGCCTACTTATTAGTTTATAAAAATACTCAGGATAATCTTTGAATGTTGTTCTAACCTAAGTATACTATGAGTTTAGTGGGAGACTACTCACATTATGTTTACGATCTCAGGTGTTTTTCATATACTGTTCATTGAAAGCTGAAATAACCAATAGAATGCTAATTTTTGTTGCATAATTCCACAGCACAGAATGTACTGAAAAATCATCAGTAGGATTCTTTCTTTATACAGTGGGCTTTTAAACTAAAGACAGAAGAGCATCAGATATCTGGAATTTAAAGTTTTGCTTTTAGCAACATTAGTACAGTGTTTTATTGTATGAGCAGAAGACTCGTATCTGTTTTTTCCAGAACTATCAAATTATAGGGAAGCTATACCTGGGCTTTACTATTATTCAAAGAAGGGAGAAAGATAAGAGGGAGGAATGTTTAAAGTACCTAGTGTTCATCAAGAGCAAAACACTAAGTATTTTGATTAGCTAGCTAATATACATTTTAATACAAGAAAATGCAATGAATATATTTATATCTGAATGCAGATAATACTTTATTAACTGATCACAGTTTTATTGTCTGATTTAAAACCGTAACTAATTTGGGAAACAAAAAGGGGATATTAAGGCTGAGCCATATATACAGAAAAAAATCTGGATACTGATAATCTGTACATTTTTTATTAATTAAATTAACCTCTGTTTTTTTCCTTTACACAAATAGTTTCAGTGTCTGACATTATCAAATTGGCCAATGTTTTAGTTTTATGCTGGAATGAAAGTTTAGCCCAAGTTTTTCATGGAGTGTAAATCTCAAATGAGATCAGACAGGTTTGTTGCCATATTCCAAATGAAGTGATGAATTTTATTCAGGTTAGTTTTATTGTTGGTGCACAAAGTTATAACAACTGATTATCCTCTCTTCCAGCAAAACTAGTAGTTCTATCCCTCAAAGATTAACCTGTATTAAAGTCAACTAAAATAAGATGGAAGATCAATATACATGAAGTGCCCGTGCTGCATATCATTTTCCAATTCTTTAAGCAGCCCTTTAACATTATATGATTAAGTGGACATATGTGCCATTTTACACAATTACACTGACTTTCCAACAAAATCCAGGAATTAGTTAATTCTCTAAACTGCACCATGAACAGTAGTCCTATATGGTGTGGTATAGTTTTCCATCTCTATTAGCTCCCTTTTTTAAAGCTGGGCAACACATGAAATCAAGACATCAAATGTTTGTCCTTTTCAGAAAGTGTTTCAGCTGTCTAGTTCCAGTCACTGAAGGAAGAGGCAGAGGCAAGTTTAAATTATCCCAGAAAACTGAATGAATTGCTTTATTTGGTGTCTTCAAGATGCTTCGCCTTCTGTGGGGGATGCAGGTGTTGGAGAGACCATTTCAGGTTTTCGTGAAATTCTGTCCAATTCTGCCTGAACATCAGTCAAGACTGGTTTCTGGCCTGTACAAAAAGAGTGCACACCACTTTGTCAAGGTTAAAATGAAAGGACTTGTTTCCCCACAAAAATGGTGAACATTAATGACATAATATAGTTAAGTTTTTAGAATAGCTCTCAATCTTACACTATACCTCAAAACCAAAACCTATAAAATCCTAACATAACTGATACAAGTCCACTCTTAATTTCTAGAAGATTTTGATCAATAAATGCTGGGCTCACACCAAAACATTAATATGCATTAAGCACACAAAAATACACTGATATATTTCAAGCAGTTATGTGGCCATAATTAGTCATCTTTCTATAAATCAGTTCACTTATTATAAGTATCCCAAAACACTTCATCAGATGAGCTGGAACTCATAAGGTTTGTTTTACCCATGAAAGCTCATGATACTATAGAATTTTTGTTAGTCTCTAAGGTGCCACAGGATTACAGGTTGGACCTCCCTCATCTGGCACCCTCAGGATCTGAATGGTCCTAAACAATGGAGTTTGCCAGATGAGGGGAGGTCAAGGCTTCTGACCCACTGTAGGCTCTGCGCTTCCTGCCACTGCCCCCAGCCCCACAATGTGCCAGGCCCGGCCAGGGCTGCGTCCCCCATCGTTCCAGCCCTGGACAGGGAACAGTCCGGGCTGCCTCCAGCCAAGGCTGCGCCCCTCCCCCATGGTGCCGGTCTGAGCTGCACATCCAGCTGACACCAGCCCCAGCTGGGACTGAGCTCCTACACCACATTAGCCCTGACTGAGGCTGCACTTCCTACAGCACCAGCCCCAACCAGGGATGCACTCCTGGCCCCTAGCGTGGCTGGGGTCTACGTTCTTTGCCACCAGCGTTGGCCAGGGCTCTGCTCTCCCCCACACTGGCCCCTGTTCCCGTGTGCCAGGTACTGGACTCCCCTAGCCTCAGAGCCAGAGTGCTAGAGGTGGCTGGTCTCCCTTCAGCACCAGAAGTCCTCCATTAGCCCCATCCCAGGTTCCCAGCCACAGGGGAGGAGCTGCACTGCTGGGAAGCAGGAAGGGGCCTGGCCTGGGAGCTGAGTGTTGGCAGGACCATGCAAGGCTGTTTGGAAATACTGAGCTTTCCTCTGCCTTTGATACCCACTGACAATGGGCCACAGTATAAAACCGAAAGCTGACTACACTGCAACCATCACATACCTCCTGCCCATGAAGGATATTGCTGTGTGTAGTTCTTTACCAGTAGGAACAACACTTTGGGATCTGTACCAGACAAATGTGATAGTTGTTGGTATCAGCATGTCCCTATTGCTCTATAACTTAAGGCTGAGGAAAAATCTCCGTACCTTCATGGCACACTCACCTCAACAAGGACAAAGTATCACTCCATGGAACAGAGCAGCCCTAGAGAAGCTGGCTACTCCAGATAATTCCTCATCAATATGGCCCAGACTGAGGTCAGTAAGACCACAGTGTTGGAGATTTGTGCTATAATACTTCACAGAGAGGGTTGTGTGATCAAAGAAACCAATGTTCAATGATCACTGAGGGATTTAAAAAACCAAGATTTCCAAACTATGCAGAAGCTATAGATGACATCTGTGTGCCTATTCTGAATCTTCCCCCTATATTCTCTGCAGTAAGCCCAGAAAATAGCTTATTCAGTGATGATACAGTCCTTAATGATTCACATATGTGGAGACATGAAGCCCAGAGTCTTTTAAAATCCTAGCATTTGGTGAATGGGAAGAGTAGGACTTTTAGTGGTACTTCAGAGGTTCCAGCCAGGTAGATCTCCATTGTGTCAAATGCTGTACAAACGTATAAAGAGCTCACGCTCCAGAAAGCTTAGAATCTTAAAGGACAACCCATAGATGTAAAGAATAAAAATACAGCACTAAGAGCCTGCTCAATACACTAAGAACACTTGTGCGTGCATGCTAGGTGTATTACAGGCATGATAAATGGGATGTAGCATGCTTTCTCCATCTGCTCACAACACAGGGTTGATCCAGCAATTGGCTTGAAGGGCCTTTTTGCTCTCCATCTTCCCTTTTTGAAGGGAGAAATCCAGGTGATGAGGAACAAAAGAAGGGACCCATTAGATAGGCATTCATATTACTTATCCTTGTCATTCGCCTGCCAAAATGCTAGCATGGGTTCCCGAACTGGGGGGGAGGGGTGTGCCCCCCCGGAGGGATGTGAAGAAATTCCAGGGGGGGCACGAGGCAACCCAGCCTCCTCCTCCCCCCGGCCCCAATCAAGTTTTGCTGCCCTGTTCAGTTCCTTTTTTGCTCAACAAGTTTTGCTGCTATTTGGGGGGCAGGGAGGAGCGCGTGAGGGCTTTTCAAAAATCAAAAAGGGGGGCATGATGCCAAAAAGTTTGGGAACCACTGTGCTAGAGTCTCTTGGTCTGTATTTGTTCAAAGCTCTGATTTAGCACGGAAATACTGGAAAGCAACAAATAGAAAGAAAACGAAAGTGTTAAAAGCTACCAGATAGGGAACATAATATCTAACTGAAATGATTGAATAATATTAACATGACTTTCCCCCCAAAAATTCAGAGACTCACAATATACCTAGAACATCTTTTGACATCTACTATGATTTCAGCTTGGCTTCCCGTTGCCAGCTTCTCACAGATTTTACCACATCACTGAAACACGGAATAATGTATACATTTAAGGTGGGTGTAGGTAAAAAATCCTGACATTTCTAATTGCATTATAACAAATATTGCATGGTATGTGAAAAATATTCCTTGTGCAAATGAGATTTCAAATGAGGCTTTGATTAATCATACCTGACTTTTTTGCTGATGGTGGTAAACTGCTGCCACCTCCTCCACTACCTCCTCCTCCAGGACTGCCACCACCAACGCCAGGACTGCCTGGGGAGCCAGTTTTTTTACTCAGCAAACTGTTGAAGAAGTTAGCTAGGACACCTTCACTTGTGGCTCCAGCTACATCAAAAAAGGAGAAAGATATTTTTACATATACATTTTCTAAATAAATGCTGACTACACACAGTTTGCAGTGCTGTAGTATTGGGTTGATCCCAGAATACAAGACTGCCAATGGTGGGTGAGATACTATCTTTTATTGAACCAACTTCTGCTGATGGAAGATATAAGGTTTTAAGCATCATTGAGCTCTACTTCAGGTCTGGAGAAAGGAAACCCCAAGCGTTCAAGCTAAATACAAGTGAGATATTTGAGACAGAGAGCCAGTAATGTATCTATATGATGATAGACAACCAAGTCCAGAAATTTATCCCAAACACACCGATGATCTCATTTTACCTTCACCATCATGAATTTCTTACATTCAATAAAACACTTTGTCCAAACCATGTGAACAGGCATAGGTAATAGGATGCCTCTCTAATATTCTAACTTCCTCATGTGTCAAGGAACATTTCTTTAATAATGCATCAGAACACAACAATATACATCAATTATATTTTCATCCTCTGACAGATAACAGACTCCTCAAAGATTTTCCCACTACTTCAACAAATTCCACTGATCCAAACTCTAAGTACATCCCCACACCAGCATCAATCTCCTGGACACCACAATCAGCTTCAACAATGGACTCCTACAGACTACTATATAAGAAACAAACACACCACCATATTTGTCCCTGCAAATCCAAACACCTTGGACCTTGGACCCACCCAGAAATCTGCTATCTACAGCTCCGAAGAGAAGATCCAAGATGGACAGTTTAACATACTTACTTTCACCAAACAAGGATGTGCCTCTAGAGGAGAAAAAAATAGATTGCATCATGGTATGGACCACGAAAACCACGCACAAGAACCTGCATCAGTGCAGGAAAAGAAACCCACCAACTGCATACTCCTAGTTGTCACTTATCACCCCACACTAGAACCCACACCACATATAGGATATCATCCAGCAATTACAAATTGTAACTACAACCTAAAGAAATCTTTCCTAATTCCCAATTCTTACCTTCAGGCAGCTCCTCAATGTCCCTAAGCTTATCAGAAGCAAGACAAAAAACACACCAACTCTGAGAAACACCAGACTCTACCAAAATAACAGATGAAAAACCTATAGTCATAACTCCACGGTTACAATGATCAATATTCCCTTCCACACCATACCTTTCAAGAGCCACAGCTTCTACACATGCCTATTGACATACTGAAGCATTTGATGCCCTTAAGATACAACTATGTGAGCAAAACCAGACAACCACTATACTCTTGAATGAACTTAAACAGAAAAATGATACGACAAATTCACTCTGCCAGAGGTGATGCTGAGGAGAAACACGGTGGGGCACCAGCCATATGACTGCCTCCCCATGTGACTCCTCCCTACCACACTCCTAGCTCAGGGGAAGGGCAGGAATAACCCCCTTTCTGCCCCAGGCCACTCTGTCCCCTCCCCACCTCTTCCTCAAGCCACATAGCCTAAAGCAGTGTTTCTCAACGAGTGGTACGAGTATTCTCAGGGGTACTCGAGAGAAGTCTGGGGGGGTATGCCAACACAACTGAAATTTGGAGAAAACTGATTTTTTTTTTTAAGTTTTACAGTGCTATTATTTTTGTACTTTTTGCATGCAAAAATTTCATTGCCTGCCCAGCTATGATTAAGTTGTTTAAACAAATGTGTTGCAATGGTAGAAAAAGAAAATGTTGTGTGTCTGAAAACTGTAGGTACTGTGGGTACTTTATTAAAAAAAAAAAATGGTTGAGAAACACTGGCCTAAAGGACTGATATTGGAAACGGGGTCAGCCCCCGCCTCCTGCACTCACAGGCTGTAGCAGGTTCTCGGCTGCATTGCTCAGGGGAGAGAGCAGGAAGTGGAGTGATATAGCCCAGAACAGGGGGAGCTGAGTAGGCTAGGGCTGCGTCACTCTGCTTCTCCACACTGCTGCCCAGAGTGCACTACACCTTCAAAAGATGAGCCTGATAACTTAAATTCACAACTGTGCTGGATAACAAAAATCCAAGGATTTAATAAAGACATTTTTGTGGCTTACCACAATAGCTGTAACCCATCCTTCTGCCTACTAACCCTCCGTTATCCTACAACTTCAGAGGTGTCAATAGCCCACTTCATTTTACATGGTCTCCCACAACTTTTGTGACCCCTTCATGCTCAACAATGTGTCCCACCCTTTACTTATACTCTGGTTTCCTTCTTTAGACCCAAAGAAGAACTCTGTGGATTAAAAGTTTGTCTTTTCCAACAACAAAGGTAACTAGTGGTGTTCCTCAAGGGTCAGTCCTAAAACCAATCCTATTCAACTTATTCCTAAATGATCTGGAAAAAGGGGTAAACAGTGACGTGGCAAAGTTTGCAGACGATACTAAATTACTCAAGATAGCTAAGACCAAAGCAGACTGTGAAGAACTTTAGAAAGATCTCACAAAATTAAGTGATTGGCCAACAAAATAGCAAATGAAACTTAATGTGGATAAATGTAAAGTAATGCACATTGGAAAAAAATAACCCCAACTATACATACAATATGATGGGGGCTAATTTAGCTACAACTAATCAGGAAAGAGATCTTGGAGTCATCGTGGATAGTTCTCTGCAGATGTCCACTCAGTGTGCAGCGGCAGTCAAAAAAGCAAACAGAATGTTAGGAATCATAAAAAAAGGGATAGGAATAAGCCAGAGAAGATCTTATTGCTCTTATATAAATCCATGGTACGCCCACATCTTGAATACTGCATACAGATGTGGTCTCCTCATCTCAAAAAAGTTATACTGGCATTAGAAAAGGTTCAGAGAAGGGCAACTAAAATGATTAAGGGTTTGGAACAGGTCCCATATGAGGAGAGATTAAAGAGACTGGGACTTTTCAGCTGGGAAAAAGAGGAGACTAAAGGTGGTGACATGACAGAGGTATATCAAATCATGAATGGTGTGGAGAAAGTGAATAAGAAAAAGGTATTTATTTGTGCCAATAATATAAGAACTAGGGGCCACCAAATGAAACTAATGGGCAGCAGGTTTAAAACAAATAAAAGGAAGTTCTTCTTCACACAGCACATAGTCAACCTGTGGAACTCCTTGCCTGCAGAGGTTGTGAAGACTAGGACTATAACAGGAGAATTAGATAAATTCATGGAGGTAAAGTCCATTAATGGCTATTAGCCAGGATGGGTAAGGAATGGTGTCCCTAGCCTCTGTTTGTCACAGGGTGGAGATGGATGACAGGAGAGAAATCGCTTGATCATTACCAGTTTGGTTCACACCCTCTGGGGCACCTGGCATTGGCCACTGTCGGCAGACAGGATACTGAGCTGGATGGACCTTTGGTCTGACCCAGTATGGCCATTCTTTTGTTAACAGAAGATATCACTTCACCCATCTAGTCTTACAGCAATTATGTCAGTATACCACCACAAAAGTATTTCAAGTAGCAGTCAAAAGCAGCTTGCTTAACATCACATTTTCTCCTGCATAAGAACTATACCTTTCATATTTGGATCAATTTTTTTTGAGCCAGTAGGGATGGGTGTGACACTGGCCGCATTGGATGTTACTGATCTATTTGGAGTCCTAGGGGAGCCTCCAGGAACTCTTGGTGAAGCGTCCTACACAAAAGTAAAAGATTTTATAGTCAATCTATTATGTGCACTCAACTTCCAGAAATAAGGTATGTATCCTATTAATCTATATAAACAGAATTATTCAATTACATTTTCCTATTTTCTCCCCCATTTTCAAAAGAGGTACATTTAATATCGATCATGGAATTCAATGCAATACTCATGGCAAAAAGTCCATTTAAAATGAGAAATCATGAAATACCATGAAATGTATATTTTTAGAGAAATAAGTGTGTGAGAAAAAAGTATTGCAACTTAGAACTGCAGTCCAACAACAGGAGACACGGCAGAGGGTTCTCCCCCATGACAAGACTGGGAGAAAGGAAACTTCTGATGACTTGATATTAAAGCTCTGGCTGTTTTGGAAACTGTATTCACTAGTTCATGGAGAAGCTACACTCAGCTGTCCTTCGTACGAAGGTAACTTGTGGCAAATATGGTGGCTAAAAGAATTTGTATTACAGCAAACAGCATGAAAAGTTATATTAATTTAATTACCTCACAAAAACAACTTAGTAGGTCATATTACTGAATTGTTGCTTAAAAAAAGGTTACAGGAGAGGTCTTATTTTTTTAAGTTTGACCTTAAACAAGTAACAAGAGTTTCACTGCTGAGCATTTTATCTACTAGTTCCAGAAATCCATCTAAAATCTAGGTATATACCACAACATCTCAACGCGTGCAAACTTCGGAGCTCAATTTCATTTCGGGCTTAAGTGTTTTTACAGAAATAAGAAAACTGTAGAAAAACAGTAAGAAAACATTTATAGATCACAAGTGCTCTTAGCACTGAAGTCAGCAATCTTTTCACCCAAACATGCTATTATATTAATCAAAACTGAAGAACACAGAGTTTTCACAGTTTTAGTATTTAAGAACTTTACTAACCACTGGCCTTCCAGCTGCAGTAGGTGGCTGTTTTGCTAATAGAGACTGGAAAACAAAATATTGTAGACATTAGTTTGTATTTGTTGTAACAGGCTCAAAAATAAAACACAGTTTATTGACCACCACATCTTTAAATGTAACTAATTGTCTATCATACAAATGCAAAGTAACTCTACCTGCTGCTTCATAAGAAACACTTGATCATCTTCTGCTACTATTTCTTTTTCATGCACAAACTGCAATACAAAGAACAGTTCAAAATGTTTGAGACACATTTAAAAACTACTTGTCTTTCTATTTACAGATTAATATGAAGCACCAAAAATGCATGAAATGGACTGAACACACAGTCTTCAACCTACAACTTTGCTGGTACTTTACACATGCTCTAATTGTTGACACGATGCCACCATAAGGTAATCATCTTCACATGTTAGCTAATCAACTTCTCAGCATTTATTTGAAAAGCGACATTGTTGAAGTGTCTATTTAGTTAACATTTAGTTCTATTTAGTTAACATTTTTATTACAACTAATAGTTTAGTCATGCTCTACAGAAGCCATTGTTACATACTTAGTGCAAACATGTTCAGTTTACAGGGCGTGATTATTAAGTCATGTAATTCTCAGACTGTTCAACGAACTTGCTAATTTGATTTAGACTAAAGAACCTCACAATGCATGTCTGGAGACTAGCTGGTACTGATGTGCCACCATCCTGACTAACCTGGGGGTGGGAGGAGCGCACAAAGTCTTTTGCTCCCTACCCGTGGGCACGTGGCACTTAGAGTCAACCAGGAGAGTTGACTAAGTGCTACATGCTCCCCAGTCCCTAGGCCCTGATTGGCCTGGGGATGGTGGAGTGGCAGGTCCTTTGTGGGCTGGATCAACCCACAGAGGCCCTTTTTGCTCTACCTTCTTCATCTTCCAAGAGCATCACAAATAACAAATTTTATCCTCAAAACACCCTTGTGATCTAGAAAAAAGGGGGAAAAAAAAGATGAGACTGTCCCAAGGTCACATCTAATGGTAGAGCTAGAAATTAAACCCAGAAAACTTGAGTCCCGGAACTATGCGTCAAACACAAGATGAGCCCTTCCATACAACAAATCTTCTGGCAGTACAAAAGGTGTCTTAAAGCAAGTACAGTTTTACTGACAATCAGGCTTGAAGTCTACATATGCATGTTGAAAGAGGAAAATTGTTTTCTTTAGCACTTGGTATATTACACCATTACTACATAAATGGGCTTGTACAGGATTGTGCACCTCTTTTCCCATCAAGTATTTGTAATTAGATTATTCAGTGGGAAGTTGTAGTACCGTGGTAAGGTAAGAGTCAGAAGTACTAGTCTTCAGTTCCCCTCATGCCTTATTGGTCCTTTGCTCATAGCATCTCCTTGAACAACTGAGACAAAAGTATCTGTAAAATGTTCTAAGCGCAGAAAGTTTGCTGTATATATTGCACATGAAATATATTTATCCACTTAATTCCTGGTTTTTTGGCTTTATTTTCCTACATTTGGTTTTAAATGCTGTTTTAAACCATTTGTTTCTACTACAGAATATTGGCAACATAGAACAGTTAAGATTTTAATTTAAAAGAAAATTGTAAAGATATTTTAAATCCTGTTAGTACAGGATGAATTTTAATTCAGAAATCAATGCAATTTAGCTTTCCAAAAATGCAGAAGTTAGATGCAGCTACAACATTCTGCACTTGCAGTGACAGAGGAAAACACTTAAATATAATGTTCCCATCTGAAGTATGAATGCATGCTCACAGTCAAAGCTGCTATGTGGCAAAGATGCAAAGAGACTGCAGATGTCAAGTAGTGTTTAATTAGCTAATCAAGTAGTCGATGGAATTTCCATCGAATACTCGATTAGTCAATAAGGGAGGGGTGCTCACTACCCCACACTGTCGCTCTGCAGTATAAATATAGTAGGAGCCAGGCATGCATGCATCCCCGTTCCTACTACATTTAAACTGCAGAGCTGCAGCAGGGTTAGCTCCCAGGGTTATGTGAGCCAGGACTGAGCAGTCCCAGCTTGCACTGGCTCTGGGACCACTGTGCCTCTGCCATTTAAACGTAGTAAGAGCCACCAGGCTCTTACTACATTTAAAAGGCAGAGGTGCAGCGGTTGGGGACCGGTTGCCAGCCAGGACTGAAGCAGTCCCAGCTCACTCTGGGTCCCTCACTGTAGTTCTGCTTCCTCTCCCCTGCCATGGAGATGGTGCTGGCGGAACTAAAGCTGGCTCCCCCCAGTACCAGTTCCTGCTCCCTCCCCAGCTGCCTCTGATATAGAGGCAGTAAGCACAGGGGGTAAGGAAGTGAGTAGTGACTCGACTACCTGAACAGGCCTAGGCTTATCGGGTAATCGACTAGTTGTTTTCATCCCCATCAGAGACTAGTGGATACCATTACAATTTTAATTTGAAAAAATATGGGACTGATTTCACATTCCTGTCTGAGTTTTCCTATTAGAAGAATAGAAATCAGAACAGGACAGAACAGAGCAGAAGAACAGAATGACAAGCTAAGTCTAACAGAAGTCAGTCTGCCTCCGCTTTGCTGTTAAATATAGCAGGTAGGCTTCTAGCTACATTTATAGCTACCGCTCAAAAACTCAACAAAAAGAAATTTTAAGAAGAGTGAGGGAAAAAGATTAATAATTTTCATACATTTTATCTTCATAAAAATAATGGATGCAAAGATACCACTTATGTATTAGAGGTTATTGGAGGCTGTGATTTCTTAACACTTTCATACAGGCACAATGGAAAACTGGCACAACAGTTTCATACAGGTCATAATGGAAAAGGGCACAACAGGCCTACTTAAGTTAGAGGTTTTAATGTTGCATTTTATTATACTCTATGCCGGGCATGTCCAAAGTCCGGCCCGCGGGCCAATTGCAGCCCGTGTTCCAGTTTAATATGGCCCCACAGGTAATTTGGCAATATCTATCTTTTATGGCCCCCAACGAATACATATGTATTGAGATGAATACATTGTAAAATCTCAGTTAATGTCAGTTGATCTAAATCAGTTATAAATATATTTGACACAACATGTATACTTGGTGTTATGTTCCTGTTCATATTTTTTGAACTTAAAAGTTGACAGACAACCTTTATTACCAATAATATGTACAGGCAGTCCCCTTGTTCCTGACATATATTTCAGCTTCCTGGATTTTTTTTTCATCTGGCCTTCAGATATGAAAGGCAGAGTGATTTAACACCTGTTTAGATTTGTCATCCATGTGACGAAATGAAAAGTATGCCGTTTGCAATAAACTTTGCATAAAATAGTTAATTTGCATTTAATTTTAATGGTTCAAAGAATGTCAGGCAAAATGGTCGGCCCTCACGCATGTTCACTTCATCAAATCTGGCCCTCTTTGAAAAAAGTTTGGACACCCCTGACATAGATGATAAAAAACTAGATAAATTCATGGAGGTTAGGTCTATCAATGCGTATTAGCCAAAATGGGTAGGAATTGTGTCCCTAGCCTCTGTCAGGAGCTGGAAATGGATGACAGGAGAGGAATCACTTGATGATTATCTGTTACTCTTCATTCTTTCTGGGGCATCTGGGATTGGCCACTGTTGGAAACAGGCTACTGGGTTAGATGGACCTTCCGTATGACCTGGTCTGGCCATTTTTATGGTCTTAGGTTCTTATGATGTCATGATTGCCACCTCATTATTATATATTTATTTTTCCCAACAAGGTTACCATTTCATATCTGTTTGCCTGTATTCTAGTACCTGTCAACCCAAATCCAAATGCTGTTTTTGTGTGTGTTCTGTTTACTTACAAAAGCATACTGAAAAATACAGACAATTAATGCAGATATTGAACTTGTATAAACAAAAAAGTGGGGAAATCCTTTGTTCTAGAATTACTCCTCAGATATGCTCCTCAGATACGCAGTTTGCATATTGAGATAGATGGTTTATCTGACTACGCTTGATATATATAAAGTCATTTTCACTGTTTCCCTTGCATAGTGAGTTAGTCAGTCCCTTTCTTTATGTGTATCATCAGAATGGGAAAAGGACAACCATTATGAAGTTTAATAATTTCCTCTACTCTTTTTCCCTAAAAAATTAACACCGGGTAATTTGGCAATATCTATCTTTTATGGCCCCCAATGAATCCATATGTATTGAGATGAATACATTGTAAAATCTCAGTTAAAGTCAGTTGGTCTAAATCAGTTATAAATATATTTGGACACAACATGTATACTTGGTGTTATGTTCCTGTTCATATTTTTTGAACTTAAAAGTTGACAGACAACCTTTATTACCAATAATATGTAATGTACTTTACAATGTTCCTGACATATATTTCAGCTTCCTGGATTTTTTTTTTCATCTGGCCTTCAGATATGAAAGGCAGAGTGATTTAACACCTGTTTAGATTTGTCATCCATGTGACGAAATGAAAAGTATGCCGTTTGCAATAAACTTTGCATAAAATAGTTAATTTGCATTTAATTTTAATGGTTCAAAGAATGTCAGGCAAAATGGTTGGCCCTCACGCATGTTCACTTCATCAAATCTGGCCCTCTTTGAAAAAAGTTTGGACACCCCTGCTCTATGCATTCCATTCAATTTGCCTGCTTTTGGAAAAAAAATATCTGAGTCGGTAAACTTTTTGGGGGCATATTGTAATAAAAAATATTAACATCTAAAGTTTGGCCCTATTTGGAAACTAAAGCTCTACCTTTATAGCAACCACACCAGAAAACAAGCATGAAAGATTTAGGCAATGTCCACACTGGCAACTGAGTGACAAAACTTGCCTTTTCAGAAGTGCTAACCATCCCCATCTCCCCAAGAGACAAAAGCTTTGCCATGGCGATTGTTGCTGCAAACAGCCCATTGAGACAACATGAACACCAGTCACTGGAGGTGCAAGCATTTGTCTCCAAAGTGCAGCTACACTACCTGACTTAGTAACGTGTTCATGTCACTAAAAGCTGTGTAGTGTAGACAAAGCTATACATATCTTTGAGTATGGCAGCAACATGATTTAGCTGCCATAGTTTAGCAATGCTTTTGCTTTAAACTCCAATGAAAGTCTACAGAAGCAGTGTGATGAAGGGGTGTTAGCAAGCCACTCTACCTTGAATGACTCCATGAAATGTGTTAACTACTTTTGCTAAAAAAACCTGTTCCACCTTGTATTTATTTGCAAGATCTTTGTTATGTCTACACTGCAGACAGAAACTTGCAGGCCAGCTGGCCCTGGCTCATGGGGACTCAGGCCGGGGGGGGGGGCTGTTCAATTACTGTACAGATTTATCCCATTAAATCAACCGCAGATCACTCTCCAGTCGACTCTGGTACTCCACCAGAATGATAAGCATAAAGTACGTTGATAAGAGTTTCTTCTGTTAACCTAGCACAGCGCAGACGTTGCAATAAGTCAACCTAAACTGCATTGATTCCAGCTACGTTATTCACATAGCTGGAATTGCTTAATTTAGATTGACTTAATCTCATAGTGTAGAACTGCCCTATAACAATGCAAACAGTAATTAATGAGAGCTAGTTTCCTGAAAGCCACCAGAGGAAGCAGGATGGAAATGGGAGAACTCACTTAAGGAAGATTACCAGAAGGTTACCAGAAATGAACAAAAGTCTTGTGGTTAACAGGAATGGGGTAGACAACCAAAGGAAAAAAGAAATGCTCTAATGTTAACATCTAAGTCACAACATGTGTTATATTTTAACATGTAAACAAAATAGGTTTCCCTTGAAACATACTGAAATCAAATTACCTTTCTGACAGGTGGTTTTGTGATAATATCTTCAAAACTATCATCTGCTTTTAGTGTCTGAAAGTTTTCATGTAATATTCCTATCTTCTTGTCGTTATCCCATCCTGCAGGACTGAAGGTAAACAGACACTGACTTTCAAATTTAAATATTCACTTGGTTGGTCCCTAATACCTCATATCAACCTGTGGATAAATATTACTATTGTTGAAAGGCCAAACAAAAGTTTTAATACTCCATTCCTCTACAATCAGCCAGTCAGTGATCAGCAGTGTCAGCTATCAAGTATTTTTAGTTTACTCAGTGTGGCATAGTGGAGAAGGGATATTTTCCAGGTGGAATATTCTACTTTAAAAATTGGCTCCACACTTCCTCTCTCAAAATAACAATCAATGCTTAACAATCTTCACTATTAACAATCAAGAAAAAACAAAGCCTGTTCTTACTGTGAATTAGTAACACCACAAAAAAGTAGTGAATATTAATGCTGAAATACAATGTACATAGCTTTACAGAACCACTTATTAGGGCCCTACCAAATTCATGGCTATGAAAAATGCACCACAATCTGTGTAATCTGGCCTACCTCTGTGAAATCTGGTCTTTTGCATTTTTACCTTTTCCTACACAGATTTCACAGAGGAGACTAGCATTTCTCAAATTGGGGGTCCTGACAGAAAAAGAGTTTCATGGAGGATTGCGAAGTTATTTAAGGGAGGGGGAAGCAGTATATACCACCCTTACTTGTGTACTGCTGGCAAGCAGCGGCTATTGGCAGGGCACCCAGCTCCAAAGGCAGTAGCAACAGAGAAGTGAGAGTGGCAGTGCCACACCATGCCATCCTTACTTCTGTACTGCAGCGGCTGTG